AGCCATATACCCTCAATCCTATCGAGGCCCGTATCATGAACCTATATGATGACCAAACCCTGCTTCGGGTGCATCAAGTCTTTCCACTTGTTGTTTCTTCCTTCTGTCGTAGGCTGCGGCCTCCGTCGTATGTCGGTCGTGTGGAGAGATCTTTGCGCGGATACCTTCGCGAGAAACCAGCAGATGAGGTGCACGTTGCCATCCTGTGCCTTGGCGGTTTGCGTCAAGTTGAGAGACTTTGGGAAATCAAGGGCTATAATAGCCGCAGGGGGGCGGTCGATAGTTGGTACAACGACATAACCACGCCCCCACCCGAGCCCACATCAAAGCCGCGTCGAGGCCTCAGGGCTTTGGGGCGGAAAAAGTCGAACGCCTGTGTGAAGGATGCACCAAGGTCTTCAATAGAAGGGCGAGACGCCCGGCGTGGCTCAGGCGGCTCCTTTGAAGATGTGTCGCTTTCCACGCCGGAGTCGGGCCTTGTCTTCAACACAAGCCTCTCTGCCGGCATGCCTATGGAGATGCTCGGTCACGATAACGTGCGACGTCTACTCCCGGATCTTCCAAATTTGCAGCAAATCTGGTTGACAACGGCAGAGGCTTTGATCTTGGACCGCAACATTGTGGAGCGGCCGCAAGACATCAAGCGCAATGCCCAAGTCATGCTGGATTTGATCAAGGATGACGGCATCGAGGAAGAAGATGAGTGGTGGTATGGTCGCGGCACGCCCGAATCTGTGCGTCCGCCACTCGAAGCAATCGAGGAGGACCTTGACGAAGGGGTTTGAGTGATTTACTCCTGGGCTATTACACAAGCATTCATTGGGCGTTTGAGGTGGAATCGTTTCAGGAAAGCGGCCAAGGATACAAGGCCATGGAGTCGGGATCAATCAGCATCATGGCGGAGGGGGAGATTCCAGCCCCTTGGATAGATACCTTGCATTAACAACGTTACTTTGTTCACCTGTGTCGTCATTGAATCTCGCTCTGAGCCAGGATTGAGCTGCAGTGGGTAACAGTTAAAACTGCTATCTGA